CACACACCACCATCGCTGGGCTACATGACCAAATAAGGTAATATTACATTTCTCTGTTTATACAGGCCCGGGACATGGGCGGCTCTGGAGGGCACAGAGGGGAGCGTGGCCCACACTGCACGTCAGCCCCCCGCATCCACGGCTCTGCCCGGAGCCGGGCTCAGTTCCCCAGAGAAGCGACCATCTGTCATGTAAAGGCACACTCGGCAGCCCTAGGGGACACATGTCACCCCAGGAGGCAGGACCCAGCTCAGGACTTTCCCCGCTCCTGATGTAGAGGTGGGGGTGTCCCTCGCTTTATCAGCCCTAGGCTCGAGCAACAGAAGGCTTTCCAGAAAGGGCCAATGTCAGGCAACTCAGGTGAGGTGCTTTCTCTGCCCTGAGAATTTATTTCAAACTTTGCTCTGCAGACCGCGTGGTTCTGCGGCTACAAAGCCTGGTCTGCCCTCCCCGTGCCGACAGTATTTATAAAAGGAGACGGGCAGCTGGCAGGGCCTCGCTGCAGTAATTGGTATTAACAATAAGACAAGTGTAAATGTTTAATGCCCATTACGAGCCTTTAAATGCTAAACAAAGCTTCAACTCGCTGGCATTTGCACCTCGGATGTGGCCTAGCCTCACCTCCATTTAAGCCCAGGACACTTCCAGCAGCTTCTTGGTGACTTCGTGCTGTCTGCGTACACCGTGTCTACAGGGTGACGATGTGGGAAAGCGGGGAGCCCCAGCTCTGCTTCGGGGGCTTCCTCCGCATGTCCACACACCTCGATGCCCACCGTGTCTCCGCTCTCCACCCAGAGCATCTCTCTGGAACACCACTGGTGCTCAGGGAATGTTCCCTCCGGGGCAGGAGCAGCCAGTGAGGCGACGCGCTAACAAACGAGTGATGACCGAATGAGGCGGATTCCTGCAGCGCTCGCCGACGCGGCCTCCATTGGCCCTTGAATCTCATTTTGAGGTCATGGGGGATGGATTTCCATCCCTGCCCCGCCCGTCAGCTTGTCACACTGTGGTCGCCTGCGTGTGGCTGTGATGAGGAGGCGTTGCCATCGTGCTTCGAACCCCAGCAGGGTCCTGCGTGGTGGACGCGCTGCAGAGAGCGTCTGGCCTGCGACAGAGCAGGAGGGGCGGCCTGGCAGCCTGCTTCTGACAGCGCGCCAGCGGAAGCCCCGTGATCACAGCAGAACGTTGTCGGGTGAGGGGGGAAGACGAGCCCCCGGCCGGCGGGCACTCGACGTCCACAGAGGCCGCAGCACAGGGCACTGGCAGTCAAGGGCAGTGCAGGACCGGGCCCCGGTTGGTTCTGTTTGTGCACAAGGTGGCCGTGGGTTGGAGCACTGACATCGTCATCGACCACCCGTGGGCGAACACGCAGGGGCTGAGCGGGTCAGAACCAGCTTCAGCTTCAGCTTCAGCGTGACATGCCTGAGTTCTGAGCTGATTTCCAGGAACCCCTACAACCGATCGGGAGCTCTGGTAGCATAGTGGCTAAGGCGCCTGACTGCTAACCAGAAGGCTGGCGGTTCAAACCCACCAGCCACTCCTCGGGAGGAAGATGGGGCGATCTACTTCCGTAGTGATACTGTCTCGGAAACCCAAGGAGGGGTCTCTATGAGTCGGGTCCAACTAGACGGCACATAACAACAACAACTACAACTGATCAGTCCCTGGCATTCCCAGCCTGCTGCCCCCGACAGCCTCCCCGCGCCCCGGGGAGTGTCTCCCTCATTCCTTCCCCAAGCCCTACCCCCGGGTCTGCACCTTCCTGCCCCTTGTCCCATTGGAAGACCAACCCATGTGGCCAGGAGCCTCCAGCCACCATGCCAGGGCGCTGCAGTCCCCAAGAACCCAAGGCGGCGAGGTCCCAGGTCTGCACAGATGGGGGGGGACTGGGCAACAAGGCCCTGGGTCCGTGCAATGGGGGAACCCCAGGCGGCAAGGTCCTAAGTCCACACCGATAGGGGGGCCACAGATGGTGAGGCCCCAGGTCCGTGTGGAAGGGGCCTGTTGGGCAGACACAGCGGCCTGTAGGGGGCACTGTGGGTCAGAGCCCAGGGGCCACACCCAGGAACCTTGGCCTTCATACCTGCCCTCCTGGAAACAGTCTGATTTCCTTTCTGGGATGCTTAGTAACATCTCAGCGCCCTGACATGACTGAGTCCAAGACCACCCACCAGGAATGTCCAACTCTCCTGGGCGAGGCCCTTGTCCTGCTCGGTCACCTGGGTCATCTTGCTGGACACCTGACCCGTTCATTCAATATGTGTCCCGAGTACCTGCCGCATGTCGAGAACAAACCAGGCCGGGTCCTTGGCCCTCTGAGGCACAGCCCGAGGTGTGTAGCTCTACCGAGAGCCGACTGTGTGCTCAGCCGGCATACGCCGTTCCCCTGCGTAACCTCATTTAACCCTCCCAGCAGCCTGCACAGCGGGGACGAGTGTAACCTTGTTTCTCACCTGCAGAAACAGGCCTAAGAGAAGGAGCAACCTGCCTCTTGTCTTTGTCCATCTGCCTCTGAACCAGGTCTGATGCTGGGCAGCCCCCTCCAGGAGCCTCAGCTCCACCCCTTATAAAATGGGGGTGCACAGCCCTTCATCTGCAGGGCTGCCAAGCAGGTTCCTGGAGATCATATATGTTGAGTGCCTGGCACAGCATGGGGAACAGAGAGGGCGCTTAGGGAGGAGTAGGAGGAGGTGAGTGGAACGGACAGTCACTGGCCACGGCTGGTGCGGGCTGTGAAAGGGAGCCACTCCCCTCCTTCAAAGACTCGACTCTTGAGAGTGGAGGCCGAATGGATGGAGGAAGGGAGGGTCAACCCCCCGGTGGAGGATCTGGCTAAGCCGGACCTGGCTGGCCGGCCGACCAGGAGTGCAGTGGAGGCTGGAGGGGACTGCACGTGCACGAGTCTACCAGATCCCAGGAAGTGCCTGTGTGTTAATGATTAACCCACGAGGGGCACCGGGCTTGGCCACTCGCACCCGCTGACTCATTTTGCAAACCCTGCTGGCCCACAGACGTGGCCTCTTGCCACCATCGCCACTGCCACCTCGCTGGACATCCCAGCCACGGAGGTGTCGCAGCCACAGGGTGAGGTGACCGTAGCTGCCACTGGGGAGCTAAGTGTGACGGAGGAGACGCCCCTCGACCCTCTGCTGGTGAGTAAGGGACAGGGCTGCCCGAGGGGCAGTGGGGCACCGGGGCATCACTCACTGCCAGCCCACCTGGACAGGAGACCCAGTGTGCCCCCTGAGTCCCTGTGAGGGTGCCGGAGGCCACGGGCAGCCAGGTCTAAGCAGTGCCCAGCCCAGCCCAGCTGGGGTGGGGCAGGCCTTGGTGTGGGCGTGTTAAGGCAGCACTCTTCCAGATGGGTGACGTCTTTCTTCAGCACTAGTGACACTTGGGGTCGGATAACTGGCCTGAGGGGCTGCCCTGTGTATTTTAGGGTGCTAGCACCCCTGGGCTCCACCCCCTAGGAGCCAGTAGTCCCCTGGACCCTGTCCTCATAGGCCACGATATCTCCAGACCTTGCCCAGTGTCCCCTGGGCATGCAATCCCCCCACCTCCGTTGTCAACATCTAGAGATGACATAAAGAGAAATGAAGTTCAGATGCTTGTCACACGTAGATGGGCCTGTATTACATGCCATCTGTGTCCCAGGCCATGAGCTGTGTACCCTACACTATGACCACTGTGGTCCCCATGGGGCCTGGGTCTGGCAATGACGGCAGGTTTTGGTATCAAAGTCCTCTCACTCACCCTCTGTGCAGCCTAGGGCAAGTGGCCTCACCTCTCTGTGCGCCTGCTAAATAACCATGTTGGGAGTAGGGAAGGCCAGGGCTTACAGCACATCTCCCGCCTGACCTTGGGTAAGGCTGAGACACAGAGAGATGAAGTCGCCCTCCTAAGCGTCACACGGCTGGCCGACCGGGACACAAGTGACCTCTGGAGTGGCTGGAACCAGAACAGCAGCCGTTGTCTTGGGGAGACAGAGGGAGAGTCCAGTCCTTCGGAAAAGGAGGGTGAGCGTGGTGGGCCAACACGGAGGCTGTCACTGAGGCCACTGAGCTGTCCGGGCAGAGGCTGGGGAGCTGGTGTCTGTCCTGCTGGGAGTGTTCCCACAAATCAGAGCACAATTAAAGTAACTTACGTATAAGAAGGACGGAGCCCCGGGCCTCACCCCAGCTCTGTGCTGCCCCATGGCAGGACCTCGCCCTCCCGGCCCCCTCTGGGCCTCAGCGCACCGTCCGAGAGCGGATGCCTCTTTGTCTTGTTTTGCTTCTCAGTTGTGTTGGAACTTACACAGCCGAGTTCTCACCAGCTAGCAGTCCCCGTGTGTGCGGCTCAGGGACGTGGACTCCACTCTCCACGTGCCACGGCCTCCCTCCGTCGCTCCCACCGTCGGCACAAGCTCTCAGCCCCTGAGCCCACACCGCGCCCTGGAAGCCACTACCCACTCTGGTCCCCACGTATGGGCTTATTTCAAACACATGAGAGCCCACAGTCTTTGTCCCTCTGCCACTGACTGATTTCGCTCCGCATCACGGGTTTGAGGTTCACCCCCGGCGAGGCGTGCACCAGGACTTCACTTCTCTCCATGGCTGAGTACATTCCCTTGAGGAGTCCTGGTGGAACAGTGGTTAAGAGCTCGACTGCTAACCAAAGAGTCAGCAGTTCAAACCCACCAGC